ATTATTGGTGATCATCCAGCTATGCCAGAGATGCCATTCAATTACTGCCTGGGCCATCAGACATTATAATGAATTCCAACACATCCAACAAATTCTTCACAATGTAATCTCAGACCTACCCCTCCATGACATCCCTGAATCCAGAAGAATGACCTACTAGCCTCTGACAAGTCCTGTACTACAAGCTGGGCTTAGCAAAACACATCAGGGGGGTGATCAAGAAACACTGGTATCACAGGATTCTGAAACCCATGAGTCTCACTGAACTTGGAGGACAACAATCAGCAGCCTCTCCCTCCAGTCATACCACTGCCTCTCAAACTCACAGGATTGCTGACTGCACCAGAGATTTTCTCAATGCCCCTTGAGTGGCTTCAGGATCTCAGTCAGCACTTTCTCACAGCCAGTCTCATGGCACCTTCTCTTCTGTCTCTATCAGAACCAGTGGTGGAATAGAGAGGACTTCTTCAATCTGACTCAGAGATGAATGACAGGCCTGTGAAAACAGGGAAGAGGTCATCCACCATCTCTTCCCTGCATAGGACCTTAACATCCCTTTTGACTATGAGGCCGCTCTCTGCCAAGAAGAGCAAAGACAAAGAGACCTCCCCCAGCCCTCATGGAGTGAGCTTGAGGAGCAGCTCTTTGCAGAAGAATGAGCAAGAAGGGCAGCCAAAGAAGCTGCTGAGTATGATCGACAGTATAGGGAGCAGCAGTAGGAGGTAAAAAGGGCCCAATTGAAAAGGGCTGATATCTCAAACTAATACAGACTTTGACTCAAGATCATATCAGTACTTGCACCAGTACAAGCAGACCACTTGCTCTCAACTCCCATATTCAGAGAGCCCAGCACAGCTAGCTCAGACCTCTGGATGCCTGAGTACTGAGTTGATGCTGAAATCCTCACAGCTGATGAGGCATGAGGAACAGCCTCTGCTCACCCTCCTACTCTGCAATATTCCTCTCTCTGAAGGACCCCCAGTGCAGACATCATATTCGAGGATGACAAGTCCATCCTTGGACACTTTAGATTATGAGTACCTGGAAATGCCCACATCTCCACCCATACTCTCTGAAGTTTTCTTGGAAGCTGAGTGGTTGGACAGCTTGTTGACCACTGAGGATACTGATGAAACATCCACCTCTATCATGAGCAAGTGGAGACAGTGTGAGTGGCAGGAGGAAACCAGTATGACTCCAATATTAGAAGTCAATCTGCTTCCACCTATCTCAATGCCTCAGATTTCTCCAGCCCCACTGCTGGACCAAGTACCCAGCCAGAGCAGCAAAATGACACTACAACAACAAGAGGGTGTGGAGAGTTTCTATGATCTGCCCATCACTTCCCTCTTCAAGAAAGAGAAGGATAACAGACTTGAGGGAGACAAGGGGACTGAAAGCAGTGGACCACCTCAGATCAGAGGAGAACTGGCTTATGGACTAAATGAGGACACAGATAAAGAAGCATTAGAGGAGGAAATACAATGTGTGAGGGCACAAGAATACTAGAAGTTGTATCTGAGAGGGGTAAACTTCTTATGGTGTGATGCCAACTGGTTGGCATCACAGGCTGGACAATTATATATGCATTCAGAGATTAATGAATGAACAGAAGTACTAAGATATGCTGCAACAAGATATGCAGCAGAACAATACAACCAGAATCATCCCGAGGATCTGATCAGCATTCCACCAGAATATCAACCACCATCTCTGGTTTGACCAATGCTGAAAACATCTCCTGTCACTCTGAAACATGCTATGTATACAGCACTATCAGTCCAAAGTATCTTTTTGTACTCTGCATCTTCCTCCCAATCTATAGCAACTTAGCTGTCCCACTCCCAAGCTCAGCCAAAGGGATCACCAACTTCATACTGAAACCTATGGACTGGCAAAGGAAGCTGAGTCCTTAGAGCTCAACCCCCATCTGATGAAGCTACAGAGAGTAAAACCAGAAAGGAATCTATTCAGGATGACTCAGAAGCAGTCTGACTAGGCTTCATTGTATGAGATGGAGTCATCATCCAAAAAGAAGCTGCCCTACAAGAAAGCCCCATAGCTGATGACAACTTGCTTCACTCATTCCCATGCCCACTCAACAAATGATGGTGACCCCCCTTTGCAGACTGGCCCAACTCCATGGGCCTGCTACTGGAAAACACTGCAGTACTACAGTGTCAACTGGACCTCCTTTGTAAACCCTGCTCCTTTAAAGGAGCATCTGATGACATCGACTGATTTCTGATCAATTGCAAACAATACTTTGAGGTATACATTGGATATCTCAGAACTGATATGAACAAAGTCATATTTGCTGCTGATATGCAGGCTACATGTCCAGCCCTATAATTTGCAAATTCTGCATAACACACTAGAATATGCTAGTAACTGAGGGTCATTAGCTAGTAGAGGACTATGGCTGAGGCTCCAAGCTGATAGTCATGCTAGTCACCAATACTAAATCCAAATTGGACTTTGTAAAAATAACATGGCCTAAGGATAAAAATCCTAAGTCAGGTTTGAACTTAGAAAAGTTCTGTACCACACCTTGGAAAATACTAAGTCCAAGTTGGACTTAGAAATGGTATCTCAAATAAGACCAATTCTACATGCCACTAAGACAAGTATATTCTAAGACAGCTAGATGCATAATACCATAGTCAGTTATAGAGTATTGAGTAGAGATAGCATCATCCAGAAGCAGTAAGAAGAGAGACCCAATGATCTGTGGCTAGCACTATGAGTTTTGACTCAAATGCCTAAGTTCAAATTTTCTAGGTATCAGGTGACCTAAGGGACTTAGAATTGAGAGGAATAGAGTGGACAGGACTGGTTGACCAGGTCTGACCAGGCCTGATCGATCAAGCTACTAAGAATAACTCAGAGGATTAAAACTTTGAGTAGACAGAAAGGAGTTAGATACCCACAGGCACTGTAGGGTTAAAATAAAGCTGTGTGGTGGCCAGGTGGGTCTGGGCAAGCCTAGGGGAGTCCAGGAATGCTGCCATTCCGGAATAATGGTATGATTCCACTTTAAACAGGAGAAATATTATTTTGAATGCTTTATTTATAGATTCTGTATCTGTTGTTGGTGTATAAAAGAAGGGAATAGAGGGGGGAAATAGCAAGCAAGCGACCCACCCCCATGTTCAGGCCTTCTAGCCCACTGTAGCTAGTCTCTGAGACAATGGATTTTGAGTTCTGCTTCAACTTAGTGATTTATTTAAGTTGCTTTGTCACTTAGAGAGAGGATTGGATTGGAATAATAACTGTATTTTGGGTTTCAGATTAATTTGGGTTCTAAACTATAAGGGTTTCAGCATCAGAATACAAGTTCTTTGGTTTTGAGGACCACTAGCCAGCCAAGAGTGCAGCTAGTCAAGCCTAAGTGCTTGATAGACTTAGTATTTGGGTTTTGGAGTTCATTGGGTTTCAAAATATTCTAAGCTGATCTGGAGCACAATTTGACATTGATTCTAAGTCCTAATTATACTTAAACATTGCTATAAACTACTCTCACAAGTATTGCATCTTTGAAAGCAAGATAGAGTTGAATAACTGTCTTTATTGACTGTTTCTTTGATTTTACTTAAGACTGCAAGAGTGCTTCTATTGTACTCAAAACAACTGACCTCAACTGTATTTGGTGATTGTGTATTGAGTGGTTAGGTGTTGGTGTTTGAGAGTTCATTCCTCATTCACCTCTCTTAGTCACTTAGCCATTACCAAGCACATCAGCATGAAGAGCAGTTCCTCTATCAGCTGATGCAGAGCAAAAAATATTACATGTGACAGACTTTGACATATGCTGGGTTGCCCAAGACAGTACTCAACTGTTTAGTTTTCATCACTTTCTTGCTTGTTATTTCAGAGAAGTCAATCTCTATATAGGTTGATAGGGCATCCTTTTGAGGGCCTGCCTACTGACTGATCTTTAAACATACAGGTTTCATCAACATGTCTCTCACATACCAAAATTTGCCAATATCACATATCACTGTCTACTCTAAGGCTGACACTGTTTCCCTTCATTGTATGACAGAGAGAGCCACTGATTGACAAGATTATCAATGGCAGCAGTGCAAATGTACATTCCAATATTCAGAGATCTGATGCATGATATGGATTATTTTTGGTGCTATTACTAGGATATTGATATCAAGTTTCATGAAGATGTGTGGTTCACACTCTCTGGAAATGACATCCCTGGTTGTTCAGCCCTTTTTTACTTGGCCAAGTCCTTCTTGAGCTTGCTACTGGACAGGGAAAAAAAAATCACCTCTTTGTTACCAATCCCCAGGAGCTTGGATGTGGAGGAAGGATGAAGTCCACAGATCTATATTATTCTTGCCTGCAAATACTTGATCACATGGGCCATTGCTGATAGAAATCTGGACTAACACTTTATCTGACTTGCATGCCTGAACTTGATGCTGATCTTGAAATTAATGGAGTAAGTTACAGTACCTTGCTCGATGCTGGGATGCACACCCATACCTGACAAGCTGTGGTCCCTTTGCCAGCCGGGGCAGTCATTAACCATCTAATATCTAGCCCATTGAAGTCGACCACAATTCAAGTTGCTCGGTATTGATGTTCCGAACCTTGGCATTCACGGCTCTCACACGACACCAGGAGAACCACGACCAGAACAAAGACACGCAGCTCCTTCAACTGAGTTTGAGAAGGAACAGTGGTTATGTATTTTCCGGGCCGGTAGGATGACGAAGGTCAGGGGTGTCCGTTGACCAGAAAGAATGCATCGATTTTTGTTTGAAGAATGTTTTACGCCATCGTGGCAATGTGTCGCGGGAGCACAGCCGGTCTGGTTGTCAATCCGATGCTCATCTACGCATCATCTCAGCAAAACTCACAATCAAGAACAAACCGTGTTTACATGTAATGGTGACTTTGCTTCGCGTTTTCGTCAGGCTTCTACTCGATGACGACCTCTAGGTCCTCAAAAATCATTTCATTGCTGAATACAACCCGATACCTTAGTACATATGAATGTCGCCACGATACACGGCATCATTCGTACCATATACTCCACCTAGCACAGAAGAAACGTCCAGATGAGCGGTTTCCCCCCTTCCTTCTGCAAAATATTTCTCATATATACCCGGAACCCAAGCGAAGAACCAACGTTCCACGATTGACTTCTCCTGTGCATTTAAGGTCTGCACGGCCGCGATACTGATAGCCAGATAATTCAGAGCCAGGTTCCTGCCGCAGAGAGCGGCGTCAAAATTGCACCAACCGGGCATTGCCACTTCCGGGAGGTCATTAACGTTGAGATGAGATTGGAAGGTGATTATCAAATGCAACTCCTTGAGTGGAGCGCCGACACGAACAGCGCTCAACGAGTTGGCCCACCACTGGAACTCTGAGGGAAATTGCCAGTCGCCGGGATTGATACCGAAACGCAATTCGACAGCCTTGAACGTGTCAAATTTCAGTGGGTCGAATTCGCTGCTATCTGTAGGAAATGGATATGGGTCATGGAACCCCTGTGAAAAGGACAAACAACTTACCTGAGTCAGTGAAAAAATACTTGTCATGGTCACCGAGATGTATCCTTTGCGCGGATTTCACAGCATCGCAGTCTAGGAACCGCTGGAAACGATATACATGTTCATCCTCGGCATATTCACTGCTGAAAGTGACTTTGGCCAAGGAGTCCTTAGCGATGATAGAATATCGTGAGGTTGCAACCAAGTCCATAACGACCACATCGGATGTCGTGTTTATGTCCAACCGGAGGTCTTGTACAGGGCGATTCAAAGCCGACTGTGGCTGAGGAAGGTTGCAGTCGGGGGAAGAAAAGTCCACACCGTCCTCACCATTGGCCGCTGGATCGGCATATTCTGCAATGACGAGCTCAGCAAGTTTGAGGTGGGTCAAATGAGGAGAGCCGAGGAAGATGGAGAATTCGTGGAATGTCAACTGAACGGCCCTGAGCTCGAGACTGGTGATATTTCCCATTGACGGAGCAGCGAACACGTCGACGAAGGGTTTTCCCTCCACATTGCAGTCTGTCAATGATATCGTGCGAAGATTCTGCATATAGGAAATGATTGTACCGAGGAGGGGCGAGTCAAGCAATTTGCTTCCAGCCAAATTGCTGAAAATGTTCAACGTTTTGGGATATTCTGCCAACAACGTGGGATTTGCAGCGTGAATCTTGCTCAACCGAGTGATCGTAGTAGTCTCTTCGATAGGGAGGTCGATTGTTTCATAGATATACTCGCTGGCTAGTGGGGAATGTTTTGGTGATGGCGATGACGGTAAAATAGGCATTGTTCTGCTCTGCGACAGTATCGACGATTTTGTAGAGATCCTCTGCTGGGAGTTTCGAGTTGTCGCCGTATATATATGAGACGGGTTGAGAAGGATGGGGATGAAGAGCCTTCATCAAGAAAAGGCTTCTCTTATAGAGACCGCAAAGGACAGAGCAACCATTGTTTACCACATTAGGACCAACGATAAGGATCCGAATACCTTGGTTACACAAAGGGGACGCTTAAAGTAACCAAGCGCCTCTGTATTCCTTTCGTCTTCCGTACGGAGTTTCAGCCTGGAGATCGTAAGGGTTAGAGACCAATCAAGAAGAGTCGAAAAAACTGGATAAATGGCTGACAGAATGGTCACATTGATGCGACTATCACGTGATACACCACGATAGTGACTTTTCGCCTCTTCCTGCCATCTTCGCGGTTTACTTCAATTTTCCGTCTTATTTCGAATACTTGCCGCGTTATTCTCTACGGATGCCTGCCAAATGGGCCTCGCTGTTGGTACCACCTCAGGCGACAATACTGCGTCCTTCCACCTTGTGACGGAGAATTATCAACAGTACTGAAAAACGCCCCACTGAATAACATCGGCTTCAGTCACGTATACACAAGGACGGTGAAGAACCTACTTTCGTTGTCCGAAGTCAAGATGGACAGAAATTGTACATTTTATATTGTTAGCAGCATACATCAGGGCCGGTTATCAACGTTAGAGTCGACGACCTACTGGTGACATCAAGTCATTGTCGAGGCCATACCCATTCGTTGTAAACATATCCATGAGTGGACCACTTCCATCATGCAGATGCCTATTACGAAGGCTCATGAACGTGTCCTTGATCTCTTCAGACACGCGCTCGAAAACAGAACCCAGAAGCTCCTGTGAATACTTCAGTTGTTGCTTGCTCCTCTCTTCGCCCGCCGCATTTGCCATTGAAAAGATGAAATCGGTCGGCGGATCGATGGAGAAAACCTGGGATGTGGTCCTGTTGAGATGGCTTGTCAGCAGGGATTGCGAGTCGCCGGTCTGTACGTGGGTCATGACGTCGTCGTCTGGAAGAGGCTTGCTTTCAAATACACCAGGGTCGTTCTCATCGGAAACTGGGGTCAAGGCTACGATACGGAAACGGTTGATCAGACGGGCTCAAGTCCACAGCAAAGACAGATACACACCTTTGATAACATTGTCAGTCATTTCCAATATGTCCATCGCCTTCTTGCGTATTTCCTCTGTAAACAGTGTATGAGCTTCCCAACATTAAGAGACGCCGCGAAGAGGGCGTCTCTACCTAGGGTTGGCGTGTCTTTAAACAGAACAGGTAAATGTGTGAGAGATGAATGAAAACAGGCAGGACATACTTTTCATTTCGTCCATCCGACGCTTCGCATTTCTTGCTGTAGGGTTCAGGGAACGAAAAAATCTTACATTCACCTTTACGGCTTTAAGAAACGGTGAATCATGATGGTCTGGATGACGAGAGAATGTCTTATTCTGTAAGAAGTCCCGTCCAAGGTTAGGCAGCTGACGGATGTCGAAGGAAATCTGCGCCTGGCAGTAACCGTTACCGATGACTTGTGCTCTTCTCATCTATTGGTGGGCCAAATATCGAAGATAAATTCTGCATTCGCGAGGGACATACGATTGCGACCATGCAGAGAAAAATGAGACAGTGGAAAAATAGCGGAGGGTCGTCCCCAAACTGGATTTTGAGTTCAACGTAAAGGGGAAATTTCCTAGCAACCGGCTGTAACTTCAATAAGAATGGGATAATGAAGGGCAACATTTGAGAGGAAAGGGCAGTGGGAAGAGTGAAGGCGAATGAAGGCAAGACAATAGCACTAGCTGATGGTCCAGAGGATACCGGTTCCCGGGCCGAAAGTAGGACCAAGACAATTATCGACCCTTCTTTAATTACTTACCGCACCCACTGCACATGCTGCTTAGCACTTACTATTATCCTTCCTATAGAAATGCTGCCTAACCACCTCACTTTGTCTCTACCGTTCTGCAATTTGCACTCTAATGTGATTGTACAACTCCCAACGCGTAGTATTCCTCAAGTTCACCCTGGCATTAATGGCCAGACATGTGAGGAAATCAGTACACTTTTCCCCCAATATAAGCGTCACATATTTCAGCAATGATCGAAACTAACTTACCGGGGGGCCCACTTTCTACTTGCTGTCATTTCATACGTACTGTTTTTGTTTCTCTGCCCTGCTATGACTACAGCTACGCCGGTAAGACACTACGCGCGTTCATTCGTATGACTTGTTATATACTTACATACCTTAAGGTACTCAGGTGCTGCCTCTGGAGCTCATCGATAATATTACCGATCAAGTATCGCACTTCCACGACTATGATCGTGTGCCAACCTTATGTAGTCTATGCCTAACCTCTCGGCAAGTAAGCATACGAGCAAAAGGGCATCTCTTTCGAGTCATCTGCATCACTCAGTTGTCTGAAGAAACTCCAGCCTGGAGAGTCTCTGAGCTCCGCCGTCTTTCAAAATCGAAATAGTGCTGTTATATATCGTCCAATCAAAGATTACCGTCCACGCATGGATTTTGAACGATGGTAGTAATATCATGGAGTTCGGCGGTCACGTTGAAGACAGCCAGGGCGATACAAGGGCAGAACGGCCAATGGTGAATCGTGGATTGTGTCGTTTGAAGAGTTTTTATAGAAGCGCGTCATGGCCGAAACTCAATGCTAGTTGGATCATGTCAAGCGATAGAAGTGAGAAGTGAGAGAAAATGTAGCCGTAAGATAATTCATGAGGTGAGTGGCAATCCATGAGGCAACGGCAATGACAAATTGTAACAATGTATCAATTAGACTTGTATTCAGACTTGTCGAATCAATGCTGCTAGCATTTCAATATTCAATGATCCAATCCCACATTTTTATGAAACAGAAGCATGTTACAACAGAGAAAGGCTACAAGAAAATGTGAGGACTACAATCTAGTACTAGGCACCAGTACCCTCTTCAAGCTGGTCATTGTGTACTGTGAGAGCCAAACCAGTGAATTCAATACAGATCTTAACAATGCATGAGTAAGTAACCCAGCCCTGCAGAGTTGCATCATCAAAAGGATCTGTTTGAGGGAACAGAGTATGGGATTTGAGAGCATTCAGTCCTTTCCTGAACTGTTCATAAAGGCCACTGACCCACGGCTGAAAGTCAGTGAAGCTCCTGTTCACTATAGGCAAGAATGAATTAGCTGCTATGAGAAAATAGCCCTTCTTCTTCAAACCATCACGATCGAGTTTATACCAGCTCTTGAATGGGGAATGGACTTTCGTGCGTTCCAGGATCGGGCGTCCATCAAGGTGTTGTTTAGCCACAACCTCGTAACGACAACAGAGGAGGAGAATGACGTAGAAGATGGACTCTACATCATGTCGATAGAGGTGCTTGGGTGGATGCCCATTTTCGTCGCTGATGAGAAGTTCGTACGCCATGTAGGGTAGAGTACCGGTGCGCTGACGCGATGAAGGGCCAGTCTCATGTCGGTAGGCAGACAAGTCAAAGTCGTTGAGGACCCCACGTAAATGATCGTCGACGGTGCGGCGCCACATGATACTCCCGGGACTGATATCATGGTGGAGGATTCCTGGGTGATCATACAACCATTTGTGAACTATGCCAACCATCAGAAAACACCGGGAACACAAAAAAAAAATGTACACACTCTGCAAAATATCAAAAGACCTGAGCATACTCTTGAACCGTCCGTAGCTCTTCCAGAGGATACAGCCTCTCCTGGACCGTAATTCGACAGACGCATTTTTCATACTCGAACTTTTCCTCCTCTGCGAACATAGCTTTTGCGAAGAAGACCACGAGATTCACCTGAGTAGAATCTTCAGCATAGTCAAAGTCTTGAGAAAGGAGAATGTCAGGCAAATGGTCTAAGGCCCAGTCTGGCCTTTTCCCTTGCTGCATGGATCGTGCTTTCTCTCTGGCTTTAATGACAAACTCTGCCTCCGATTTTCGACTGGTAGCAGGCCAACTGACCTTGACAACCAGTTCTTTACCCTTCCACTCATCGTGCTCCGATGTCGCCTCGACAACGCAAGTATTCCGACTGACGATCCCAGGCTGGCGTGAAATAATTCGGCCAAGGGTGACCTCAACCTTCTTATCATCTTCACCCAACTTCAGCTTGAGCTTCACCCCAACAAACATCGCCGTCTTGTCAAAATTCTCCTTGTCCTTGGGGTTGCCACACCTGTCCATGTACGCCTTGTAATTCTCGATGAGCGCCCTGTCATCGCAGAATTCCTCTTGGATGCCCCGCTGCTTCAGAGTGAGTCCACCCAATCCCACAAGCATTGCCGCGAACTCGTTCGTCACAACCTCTTCCGTAATCTTCGGCCGCTTGCCACGCGATATAAACATGTCAATCGGTTTGTACACAATGATGACCGAGTGATCGTAGTAGAGGGGTTGTATCCGTCCTACCGTAACGAGAGCGCCAATACAGTGCGTCCGAAAACCGGCGCTAGACAGCATCTCGAGGGCGTAACGACCACACTGGAGGCGAACGGCTCGGCGGGCCTGGGTTTCTTCCTCCTCCCGTCGTGCAACATCTTCGGCCGCGATTCCCTCTTTCGCAGTACTAAGTGCCACCGACTCGTCTGTTCTTCTCCTGGCCTGCGAAACTTCAGACGTCGTCCCGGAGCGCCGATACTTGGAGTGGACATGAGGAGTCTCATCTTCCGAACGACGCTTCTTCAAGGTGGAGCCCATGCGCGACTTGACGGGAGGGAGGATGCCGCCAGGGTCTCGGCGCACAGTGGTTTTGCCTCTCACCTCTCCCTTAGGATCCTCGCCCTCTGAATAAAGATACCAGTGAGAAAAACACAGTAGGAAAAGAATAGTGCTTATCAAGTGTTATAACTATAGGTAGCTTCCGTCCCCCCGTCGAGGTAGTATTCATTAGGCTTGAATTCCTGCCAATACATTGTTTGCGCCCACGAAAAGTTGTACTCTGGGCCTTTGTCCTTCATGTTGTCAACCACGTTTCCGGAACTGTTGAACATGGCGCGAAGAACACCTAACGTATCAGGGACGTTTTTTTCTAAACCGCCGGCAACCGGCTTCGCGTCTTGTCGATAGATGCCAAGTCGAGAGTCTTCAGTGGCACTGATAAGGTCGAACGCATTGTTATACATCATGTCGTGGGGATGGTAGAAGGTTTTCTCTTTAGGACTGCTCTCATTGCATAATTGGACGTAGGTCTTGACGTGATTCCTGAATACAACGTTGTTTTTGACGGCCTCGATTTTGGACATTATCTCGCCAGTCGTCAGGGAGATGTAAAATATTGGCGAAACAATGGTCGGCGGACATTAAAACGCGTTTTCTGATGTCTTCTAGGATGTACCGGTCGAAATCTGCCACAAGATGATCCGGATTGGCTGTGGGATTCACAGTTGGGGCGTGAGTGCTGAGCGGAGTGCTCTGCACAGAGGAGCGTATCTGTTCAGCTACAGACTCTTTTGGCGGCAGGGTCTTCCTCTCTCGGGTGGAGGGGAAACCAGAGCCATCATTCCGAGGCGAAGAATTCGAATCGTTTTTCGCGCCCAAAGCCATAATATCACGATGATAAAACCGAGTTGGGTAGAAAGTGAGTAGGGGGCCAAGGAAGAATACAGCGGCAGCCATTTTTGCGTGATTTTAAGGTCGGTTGCGTAGAACAATGGTGGTAGTGACAAGGTAAACTTTCGGAAACACGTGGTCGCGTGGCGTCAATCGTATTTCAATTCGTCACAACGGGGCGGCGCGGCTAAAATCGGGCAGGGGGGTCCTGACATTAAACACCATACCAACTCACTTTATATAGTACTATAAGGTGTGCAGTGATAGTTTTATGACGCCTCTGAAGGACGTCTAATTCCCTATGACGGCATGACTGAGGGCGAAATACAGCGGTCCCTTTTTGAAAATATCCAGAACTCACGAACAGACAATGAGGACTTCAAAGAGCACTTTATTGAGATCGAAGACTGTGAACTGGTATCCTGGGATGGGGAGGTTGATAGAACGAGCTCCTTCATGAGGAAGCCACTTCTCGGTCATTTCAAAACTTCCTTACTCGGCCCTGGAGATTCTCCAGATCCTTCTGATGAAGAGCTCTACTATTGTGACACCGGAGGGCAGACCTAACGGGAGACCTACAAAGGCAGGAATGGGCCTAGGGCGTCTAAATGGTGATAAGAAACACTGCCGGATCGTATACAAGGAAGTAGGCACACTGTTGGATTCACTAACGCACCCTGGCATCGTCCTACGAGCACAGGTGAGTGCCGCAAGTGGTACGCCCTGTCCCTGGTTGCATTTGATGTCGCATTTATACTCAAGGACCCGGCCAGGACTCGAGTGGATGTATAAGGGTGGGTATGTGCACCGAGACCTCAGTTCTAATTTGAATGGAGGGTTTGAACACTGCCAAAGTAACGGATATAGAATACGCAAAGATTTTTCTGTCAGATCCAGACGTTGGAGAAAGGAAAACGGCGAGTTGATTTCTTACAGACCACTTTGACTGATTGTCTGATATTGATGATAGGGTACCGCTGTTTTCATGCCAGTTGAAATCCAAGCACAGAGTTATTTATTTCCTCCACGCCGAGCAGAGTGGAGACGAGCGCGAGGAACAAAGTACTAGATGTATGGATCGCTAAGATATTGCTTTTGAACTGAAGATAACTTTCCAAGCGCAGTGTCCGAGTCGTGGAACGTATTGAGGAGTTTGCGTCGGTGGACGGTGGTGGACACATAGGTCGTCCAAATTTGGTCATCACCACCCTCGAGCGAGTGCTTCTTATGAGATAATCTATCAGACCCTGAAAACAAGATGTACATCTGAGGTATTCAATTAGAAAACTCGATTCCAGATCCTAAATCCTCCCGGGTCTCACTCACAAGACCCAAATACGACAAATAAGCTTAGAGAATTATCCAACTAAATACGATTATGACAGCGACCGAACAGGTGACCGTTTGCGTTTCAGTATATGTAAATCACCGCCAGGTCCTTTCTCCTCCACTACATCTCGCCATATCGCATCTGAATCTGTAGGAATTTCGCCCACAGGTTTCCGAGGCATCTCGAGAGCGTAACTTCCAATCTCCTGGTCGTTTCCAGTATCAAATACAAATTCTGATGGTTTTGTATCCTGCATCGACTTGAATACATTCGCAGAATTACGCCCTTATACTGATACTGATCCTCTTCTTCAGACAGATCCTTTTTTCTGCGTTTGAAAGGTTTGACGCATTCAGAGGAAGAGGACGCAGAGGATGTAGCGAGTGCGGGAACGCGGGAATCCGATCTCTCTGAAGCAAACTCTGGTAAATCGCGATGACTTTCGGGCAGCTTTCGGCCAAAGCCTCCTGGCCGGCTCCCTTCGTACTTGAGTGGCACCAGAGCATATGCGACTAGGAGCATTCCGCTCGAGGTTGTGATCGTAGCAGTCGACGATACGGTCAAGAGTTTCTCCCGTGGGAGCCAAGAGCCAATGAGACTCTTTGAACGAATAGAGCAAGGAATAATCCACTATAAAACCTTTAGTAGCAGTCAGAATTGCTGCCCAAAGGGACATACACCACAAAGTGTTATCGTCCGTCGCAAAATACGCGTTGATATCGCCGCGCTGAAGACCCCAGGCATGTTCCAGCCCATCAACCTAAGAAGAGTCCTTAGTAAAGGATGTCACCATAACCCCAGAGGGACATATGATTTAGTATTTTGACTAAAGAAAAGCCCAGCCAAGTCCGATTCTTCTCCTTCGAACTGCCAAAAGAGTGTATTGTCTCTCATTGGACTCCACAGCAATCTGAGGAAGAATACAAGCAGAAACAAGAGCGAACTGACTTTTTCTATCCTTTCCATCAACCAGAATTGCGCAACCAGTTGCAGAGCCATGTCAGCCCTTTTTGTCCGGCGTGGAATGCGGGGAAAAAGTTGGCAAAATATGACGGTAATGCCCTTGATTTGTTATCGACATCGGCTCAAGACCAGTTCAATTTCCGGAAGCTCGTGGGTTTGTCTACCACGTGGAACGATGATTCTACAGTATCTGTTGATTTCCTGAACGCAACACGTTCGACATTTCTTCCGATTGGCAGCGTTCAGTTCCCTTTGGAATCAGAGGAGGACGGCTGGGAGCTGCAGATAAAGCCCATCACAAAACGACAAAGGACTTCACGACGAGGCACGAGTTCTGCTGTCAATGGTCCTCCCCACAACTACCAATGACGCACCCTCTCCTTCGGAAAGAGCTGCGCGCCGCACAAGAAGTAAGAAAACGGCTTCCTCCATCGCTGGTCTAAGCCTTGGCCAAACTAGGCGCTGAAGTCAATGCTAGAAGATCGTTGGACTTAACTGTATGTACAAAATTTGAGTTATTTGTCCCGGAATATGATTTCAAGTCACCATTCTGAGACTGAGTTGGAGGTGCGTTTGATGAAGAAGGCCTGCAATGGTTCGTAAGTCCTGCATGATCACGATGCTTTCTGATATGGATACAGTGTCATGCATATATTCAAAACTGAGGCCGAGCGTCGGGTCCAAGTTCATCCGCCCCGCCGGTTCTTTTGTGCCGCGAGACATACGAAATCAGAAACATAGACAAATAGACAGAGGGGGTACCTATGGGTCCATATGTTTTCTCGTGAGGAGCCGGAGAGTAATCGAGAGGACAGGATTTTCGCGCACTCCAGGCAAGAGTGCCTTTGGCTGTTCGACTGAGTCCTTTCGTATGGAGGGTTCAATTCAAGAAGGTCGCATAGGCCTTCGTTCGCTTGATGCACCACATGGACCCACAAGATCAGTGATCTCGAATACGGAAGTAGTATGTACAGCGTCAATTTTTTTTTTTAATCATTGTTAATGGCGCAGCATCATGTCGATTCTCGAGCCGAGTCATTAGCTGTTCGGTGCTGACTTGTCCCCGCTCGCCCGCGTTCTGCCGCGGTAGATCCAGGCAAATACAAGAGAGCTAAGGTAAACGCGGAGTGTGTGGCGTGTGGTGTGGGATAGCGTTAGACCTGATGCTGTCCTTGCCGTGGGAAGAAGGAAACATGATTTTGGATGACTAAGCATGCGTCATGTTTTCTGATCGTCTTTTACTCTTCGCGATTCGAAACAAAAATCTTTTTATACATTCTCTATTGCGAAGGACCAGAATTTTGTCAGTATTTTCCCCGACTAATCCGACCTAGATTCGACTCGGACACTCCAAACACTGTTTACCAAGCCCGAGGGAGCAAGTATCATTACTCATCGACTGCCGTTGCAAACGACACCTATCTCGGGCAGACTAGGACAAACGGAGTTGCTGCCCACACGATCTCCGAGCCGTATCAACCGCCATCAGCACCTACAAATTTATCCGTGCGCGGAAATCAAAACTTCCTAGGTGCAGATCCTGGCATACGTCCGTCTTTCAGACTCGGGTCTCTAGCAGAGCAGCCGTTCGTGAGAATGAGGATCACACAGTGGACCGCATTCTCAGATCATGATGAAAGTGGGTGGATATCCATAACTGCCGTTCCCTCCGAGCCTTTATCTACTCTGGGTCCGGAAGTCTGGCCTTAAGACTACTCTAGAGGGAAACGTCCTGGTTTGAAGCTCTCCCGGTCCGCGTTCGGCCTTAGACAGTGGACCTTCAGTGGATGCACTTGCACCGGATTGGTGTTACTCCGCGGCTGGAGTTATTCCTTCATTCACTCGGCACATAGGCGTCTGAAGAACAGACGTAGAGACCGGCCGCACCGCCCCTCCTGCAAAACTGTCAGTCATAATCCCGTACATAAGCCGGGATATTCGTTAAGTACCTGGTATATTCCTGACAAAGATGCGAGCATTGAGACAGTGTAGAAAGGTTGAATGACGACCGTCTTGTGCATTATGACGCGATGAAAGGGCCAGCGCTGAAGCTGTTCCCATCGAGAGTGAAGGAACCTGATACTCACCTAGTGTGATAGCCTAGCAAGCTAGTTGTACAATAGTACATTCCAAGCAGTCCAGGCCATCAGCAAGGTACTTATCGGAAGATAAATTCCCACCACGATCCACGGAAGTGTTGATGAAATAGAACTCTTCTTTATACTGCTTGTTTCGTGATTGCTCCAACCGCTCAAATTCGATGGCAGTAACAATAAACAACGTGCAGGACTGACTATAATGCATCTACCATCGTCATGTCATGCTGAAACGTAATAATATCATAGTCTTTGACACCCAGTGTGTTCCGAGTATAGTTGCTGAGATGCAGCGGATATCTTACTTTGCCTTGCTCACCTGCCCAGTCAAAATCGATGATCCTCATCCTCGCCCCTTCATCTCCCGCACCATCAATGATCACAATATTTGGCATGTGGATATCTCCATGAACGAGTGACTGATCGTGAAGAATTCGAACAGCGCCTCGAACCGCTTCGCGCACCGTCTACGCAATGCTCTCTTCATACTTCCGTGCGACCGTCTGGCCGTGGAGGAACTCCATAACGACCATTTGAAGGGATCCATACCAGTACTTGCCATCACTGGAAATCGGACCGCAATATTTTAGTGCTGGCGCCTTCCCCTTACTTGCTAACAGCCTGTGGGCCTCGGCACCGTATCGCTGAACAAACCTTACAACGACCTGTTCCTCTCCATGCGCCTTGTCGAGCTTCGCGAGGAACGTCATGCACGCCTCATCTATTTCCAGGGGCTGAAGGTATTGGAATCTGACGACTTTCGTGTCGTCGTCGTATTCGGTTATGTCGGGAAAGTAGCGAGTGGTCTGTACGGACTGGGAGTCTGAGAGTCCAAACTCCTGGTAGTACTTCTCAAGGTCGTCGACGGCTAATCTCAGAGACTGAAAGACGCGAGCGAGGCGAAGAGCATGGTCGTCACCATCAGAACGACTATTGCCAAGCCATAGATAGTCGGTCAAACGCTGGACGATTGGCAGAGTCGGGAAGACAGCGCCTAGAATGGCAATCCAAGGTCCTGCAATGGAGATGATGAACGAAGGGCAGCAGCATGCTTTGAAAAAATGTTCGCGCTGGAGAAGTGATAAATCAGCACGGAGATGAACAGAAGATAAGCCACAAACTTGGGCGTCTTTCTGCGTCCAGTACTGAGCATACGAGAAAGAGCCTTGAATGGAACCTTCGCCGCTCCAACCTAATTCTTCCTTTTCTTCGCATATGACACCAGCCGCTACCGCGGGGGGGGGATCTACGTTGGAATTGCAAAATGTAGTCTGAATCCGTCTTGGGGTTGAGCAATTGGAAAACTGGACGGTTGAGCAGTTGCGACAAAATATTCTTGGTGGGGTCCTCACGCTCGAACTCATCGGTCGATATCTGAGAGGCAGTCCTCATGAGCTCTGCTGTGAGTTGGACGACATGAGCTGGAACGTGCAAGGACTCGTCGCGAATGCAAGACTGGAAAGAAGCAAAGAAGCGATGATAGAGTTCGATCGGAGGAGGGATTGGTGTCTGCCGAAGGCCATAACGACCGTCGAGGATCGGTGTCACGTCGTCTTGGTGGTTGAAGTAGTTCGTTGATTTGGCGCTTTTGGATGCAGTCGTACCACGTCATAAATTTTTGACGGCGATGTAGAGCTCTGCTTGTGTAGGGTTAGTCAGAGCATGTTGCGAGACAGCAAAGACCGATACACTTTTCCCCAGCTCCCCAAGGATACCATGTTGCTCTTCGAGCTCGCCTTACATTTTGTCTGGCAATATCGCGGTCTGTTGCATAGATGTAATCTGAGCAACAATAGCAGTCAATGCCGCCTGACGATGGTGATTACTCGTAGGCAACACATCGCGGACTAATTCCGTGTCTATTATTTCGTCACAAAATACGTCCAGTCGACAACCGCTATCCAGCAGTCGGCCCCGCAAGTCAGAAGAGTCTCTACTGTTCGATATTAGATGTTCATGTGGATTTTGGAGCATGAACAACAGGAACAAAAACAGCAAAGACGAAAAGTACCTTCCACAGTAATATACTATCCTCAGGGATCTGCGTTTTGGCAGCAAACATTTCCCTTAAATGACCGCACGAAGCACCATCCGTGACTTCCACAGCGAAAGTTCCTTCAGAGACACGGTTGTCGATGTACAAGTAAATGGAGATCAGTAGTGGCATGAGCGTCGTGGTTCAAGTTTATTAAGTCACGATCGGAGCAAGGTGACGTGACTGCACGTGGTGATCGGCCCTTCGGCCCGATGAGACTGGGTTAACCGGCGGTTTCCATGATTCCTACTGCAGTTTTCTGCGATGCAGCTTGTTTACTTTCCCCCCTTTTGAGGATCCTCACACAGATTCCCTTGGGGAAAAAGCCGTAAATCCTCGAACAGATGTCATGCATACTTATTCTATGCTTTACCAATGGCTCTAGTAAGTACTTCAAAAAGCACTCCAGTATGGGCGGTGAGTGTTGATTTTCTCATCTGGCACTCCATAATGCTTCCCTTCAGGTCATGAATCCTCAAAAGTGATCATGTGCACTAAATATGCAACCCATTAACCAGATCACAATGAATTGAAAGCTGGATAAACCGGCTCACTGTGGTGCCATCTATCATTTGCTTTCACCGTCCATCCTCGTATGGGTCTCAACTACTGTCAATCAACTACGATTAGCAGCAAGTCGCCAGACTATACCGTTATACCGTACTATTTTAACTATAGCTTACTGCTCACGTGATCGCGTTGCATAAGTATTAGGACTATGGCTCTGAATACAATTCCTTTGCCGAAAGACATCACCTACGAATCTAGAGAGAAACCTCCTCATTTAAAGTTTTCCCGGTCCGCATTCATCCTCAGACAGTGAACATTCAGTGGGTGCACTTGCACCGGGTTGGTGTTACTCCATGGCTAGAGTTATTCCTTCATTCATTCGACAAATAGGCACTGAGGGAACGAACACAGTCACGGGAGCCACAAATAGCTTGACGTCAGTGCTAGGAAGACAACAACAAACGAAGGCTGGTTCAATGCCTTTGTAGCAGATCCAACAGGCGCTGACAAATTCACATCCTTCTTCAGTCGGTTCTACCAACATATCACATGTCCAAATACCATGGATCATCTCGTAGCACATCCGTCTCCTCAGCATCGAAATCCCACCCAGATTTCCCAGCCGTGAACTTGATGTGCACCTGATGCGAAACGGACGCAATGACGTGGACGCGCATCAATAATGCCCGGTAGTCACGTATGCACTCAATCTGCTTGACGACCTGGGCAAAATCGTTCGTGTGAGCGACCAGCCGCAGGGTTTGAAGACTTGGTAGGGCTTTCAACAAGAGCAAAACTCCATCCTATCAAAATAAAAGGATAAGAATTGCATATGACAATGGGATGTTACATACCATAAAGTCTTTTCCTTCCACCACGGTTCCCAAAACGCGTAGCTTTGTACATTGGGACACACCTATCATATACTCGAGCTGAGAGTCCAAAATCCAATGGCGGCCCCAGCACGATGTCAGCTGAAGAACCTCCAGAGTTCCGGAATGACGCGGCACCACCTCACCCAACACTCGCTTCGCAGTGTTTCCAATATTACTCTCTACTTCAAACATCAACTCGGTCATTCCCTCGTTCGAGATGAGATAGTCAATAACTGCGGAAGGCACACTTTGGGTCCTCAGGGTAATGGAGGGTATGTGTATCTCCTGTTGAGCGAGTTCTGTCCAGAATCCTGCAGACTCATGGTAGAGATCGATGTGGGATATCTCGAGTGACTTGAGGCCGCGTAGGTGATGGAAAATATGAGGAGCTGCGATGATACTGCCTTCCCGCAACGAGAAATGACGAAGCGCTACATTTTTGGTCGATTTCATAGGGAAAACACGCTCTATACCAGAGACTCCTAGGGTGCTTTCCCATCGAGCCACCAAATGTAGGAAGAGATGGGACAAGCAATGATTATTTGCAAGTACGCGCGCAAGAGTCTTCTCGATTGTCGGTGCGAAGTGATTACTGTCGCCAGTGAGAGAGAACTTGTGAATATTCCGAAACCGAGAGAGATACGAAAAATATGGGACTGTGAACTTGGAGTAGGTCAGGTGCAGCTCGAGAATAGGTCGCTTCATCAACCAATTAAACGTGTCTTCGAAGAAGAATGGCGGGGCTTTACGCGATCCATTGCTGATACTATAATCGAAGGAAAAAGTCGGTGGCAGGCTCTATTTTGAGCTTTGGATAAACTTACCACAAGGTGAACGTCTGTAAGTCGGTCAATGATGCAAATGCTGTATTATAGAGCACGCGAAATGCTTCTGTGTCAGCTTTCGTCTGGAGACGCGTACGTGTTGACCGAGGCTTGTCTTTGAAATGACCACCTTCAGCCACATCGCAGTCTGCCAATGCATGTTGCTCAGAATACAATCCCCATATACAAATCCTCAGTCTATGGACGTAGCCTGCAGGTCCATGGCTCGCCAGATAAGCGTCTTCGTGCCACCATGTTGCTCTTTTGTCGTGGTATCTCCACTTCAGAGCCTTCTGCTTCGCATAAATATCAATGGCGACACTCAGGATTTTACCGCCGATTTCCCAGATCTCTTGCCACTCCTAGCAGCGAGGACCACCAACGTCGGATCTTATCATCACACAAAAGCCGGTATCCCAGGACAGCGCCAAAATCTCTGAAAGTAGTCATTGCCGCTCTTCGATGGCCGCCAAACCTTTCTCCTCATCATCTATCTGCCAGACCTCGTGCGCTTCGACCCCACTGAACCAAGCCGGAGAAGCATATCTTCCTTCACAAGCCAAAAGAACCATCAGACAACGCGTCTGACGACCGTCATTTTAATCTCCTAACACCTTCATATACATATTCGACGTCGACATTCTGCCCACGGTTGATGATCACGACATCAGGGATTGGCTGTGGACCACAGCACATTGCCGAGTAGTCCGTACATGCGTATCGATCAGAGGACGGGCAAGTCAGCCCAACCACAGATCCTTGTCTCCCGGAACGGACAAGGTTCTGTCCATGCATGACATTGTCGATATATGCCCGATGCCCAATGCTAATTATTATTTCGGAGCAATGACGAGCGACAGTCGCACCGTTACTCGAGGGCTGCTCTGTTGATCCTTGAGCATCTATTGCCCCAAACCAAAACAGGATAAGCATATTTTCATTGGCAAGTCCAAGGCAAGAGAGCGAGGCTGCTTGTTTCAGACCGTTTTCTCAGACAAATGCCATGTCGACTGTTATTCAACGTTCTTTCGACATCTTGCCTATATGCATTGCCAGCGTTTAGTCATTGGCGACTAGGACCTGGGAGGATCGCAATGACCGCAGCGCCTCGTTCTGATGTCTGTCAGCGTAGATCGATCGCACAAGTAGCAAGTCGGAGTAGGTGCCGATCCTTGTCTCCCTTGGAACGCGCGTGATGCTGGCTAGCCCGATGCATGGGACTGAGGTTCACTCTTGATGAGAACCTGCAATCCCACGACCTTTCCACCTCCGTACCGAAAATCAGGAAACCGTGTGCAAGGTAGGGAAGGGGAAAGGAATCGCCGGTAGTGAAGAGTGACGCGATGTGGGTTCCTTCGTATCTGAACATGCATAGTGGCTGCGAACCCTTCCCCTCTGGAGCTCGAACGAGCCAATCCAACTGGTTGTGTTCAAAAACCTAAGCAAAGTTCGGGACGCACTTCGTCTGGGCCGATATCGCCTATTCCACCTGTCATCCTTTTTTTAAAACCTCGTCATGAGCGTGCGTTCGGCAACCCTGAAGATATCGCTCATACTCAGTGACGATACGTATGAACAAAAGGAGCGCCTACGGATCCGTCTTTCGTCATAGAGATCCAGGCAGGCATACCATCGAACCCAGTTCAGATGGTCTAGCGAGGTCGATGCGGCACAGAACATCGCCTTCCTAGATTCGCTATATTCCATCGACAATCACCTTCCGGGACCTACAGTCGTCAACTTTATTAGATGATGTTCTGAATCTGTAGAACATGGATTACGAGAGATACCTATGGGTATATGTTTGCTCTCACTGCACAGGAATAGGGCTGAGGAGCTGAAGGACGGTGCATACATTGATTCCACTGCTGAGGCCTTCAACGAAAACCCTCATGCAAGTATCCTCTCAGGCCAAGGAGGAATCGTCGAATTACTTCGCAATCCATACCACCGCGGCTGAATCCGAGGGAAAGAGACAAAGAGTATGGAGCAGTCTGCCTTGATGTTATCATGCCAGTGGGCCTGAAAGAAGAAGATAGTAAAGGCGAACATCATAGCGTATAACGAATTCTCAGCATATATATGTCCTCCGTCAACGCCAACCCGCGCCCTAGCACCATTATTTGACCTATTTGTTCAGAAATAAGGACCAATTCTTGTACGCAGGACACGACAACCAAGAACGGCACGAAGGTGATGGAGAGAAGTCAAGATGAGTCAGCGCCAGTGACTGGTCTTACAACGTTCAACTCTGTATCCACTACATTTTCCTCACCGACATTGGACTATAAATCGCGCCTACTTCAAATGCCGTGGCTCTTGGCACAAGCAGCTAAATACCTTGGGATTATCGTCGATTATTGATGTGATGGCACAACACGAGCATACGGCACCAATGTCAGCACGAGCAAGGGCTTAGCGCCTTTTCTCCCTTGACCGTATGTTCATGAGTTCTGCTCTTCCAGATGGTCGAGCATTTTTTAACATGAGCCAGACTTGTCTGCATCCTAGATCTCCCCTTCGATATATCTTCTGATCTTCTATATCGCCTCGGACGTCTTGTTTCCTTTACTCTTATCAAAGAACTCAGCGGGAACTATGCACCTCCTCAGCTCTGCAACGTAAGTTGTTTTCATTGCTAGAGGATCACATTGACTGAAAAGAGACAGACACCGATACATACTTTTGAGACACTTATAACCATTCCATGCTGCTTTCAAACACTTACTGCCATGCCTCCAAATCTGCAAACTGGAAAAGAAAGACGATAATACTACAACGATGCCTCTGAGTCCATTGACGGAGCAACCCGAGCACGGCACGACTAACTGATAAGACCTATCCGTCTCGTAAACGCATCCACGGACTGGGACTATCACCCCTTCGACCAATTGTATTTGCAGATCAAGGCTCGGTGCTACATTAGTCCATAAAATCGTTTACGTGCGCCGTCTGCGCGAAGTCGTACCAAGGCCTACAACTTGAACGAACGCCTAGCTTGATACGCCACTAGCTCACTTTCTCGCTCCATCCCAATCCCTGTCCAAAACTCTGTCGAACGGCGCTCTACGGAAGTCTTCAGGCATACTTTCCACGTATTCATTGAATGCCAAAGGTTTCTTATAGTGCAGCCGGTCCGACATCTTACATGGCATCACAGTCCGTTTCCAGGGCCCGTTCTTGCAATCCACAGGAAGCCTCCTCATGTAGCGTGCATCTAGACCTCCACGGACATTTCTCTTCCACTATTCATCACTACTTGCAGGATTCCTAATGTTCCGCCATTCCGCCAATAGCACGACATAAATAACAACATCATCAACCAATATCGCCATTTACTTGACTGTTTTCAAAACTCAACACAAAAACGGCATATATACATGTCTCTTCATATCAATGATCACGAGGAATGAATTGTACGAGGTCGGGAGTGGAACGCAGTTGGCGTTCACCTTCTCCCTTTCATATTTTGTTAGCAGAGACATTAGCTCGCGCTTGATTTCAGATGTAGTGTCCCTCAGATTTATTCGGACTGACGAAGAGAATGACAACGACGAAGTTTTGGATGTTGCAGCTGTACAGAAATTTGTCACTAAAATCGAGCTGGAGCAGGCAAGAAACGTTGCAGACCATCGCGTTTTTGCGATCTCTCCCATTTACGTCAAGATTCTATTGCTGTTGAGCCCGCGCTAGATAGGATTATCGTAGTGCTTGACGTACTACTCCTACTCTACGTATTTCGGCCGCTGCAGATGGTTACAAACCACTGCTGCATCAACTACCATATTCACTCGACCCAAGACTGGCTCTGTAGGCAGCTCGTAAAGAAAGACCTGCCATATGAGAGTCGTTGTAGTCATGGAGACATGATGCCGTTGAGAACCAACAAAGGCTGTAATTCCGTGGACATACTGCGTAAATGAGACGATGTGTCTTTTTCACGAGTTCTAGTCATGGCAAACCCTCGACATTGGGAAACAACATTTGATACGCTTGACATGGAAGGTCCCCGCCGAACGCCTTTGAGCTCTGTCAGCATGATGTATGAATTACTCTGAAGTGAACCCACCTTAAACACCTAGTCATCTCTGCACTGAATACCCGGCTTGACGCGCTACTGCAGTACTTCTTCTCTTGCACCTTCCCAATCCGTACCCGGGACCCTCTCGAACGTCTGTCTGCAATAATCCCCAGGCTGGTCCTCACGTATTCGTTCCACATTAGCGCAGAATAATAGTAATTCATCGGCACCGGCGTCCCCTTCCTTCTCCACACCCCATGATCTTTACTCATAAGAACCCTACGCGCAAAGCGCGTGTTCTGAGACCCTGAAACCGAATTCTCCCATTCTTCATCGTTCATCCCTGGTTTCCTCGTCAAGGTCCATCCAAAGTCAATAAGGACCGGGGACCTGTCCGAGTCCCGCAGAAGAATATTGTCGATGTGTATATCGTTGTGCATCACACATTTCTCTGTCTTCATCGTCCGGAAGGCGTCCATAACACGGCCAGCAAGCGCTTCTGCCTCCGGTCGAGGAATATCAACACCGGGTTTGAGCGAGCCCATGCTCACACCTTGGATGTACTCGATAATGAGGCAGGGAATGTAATCCGTGAAGAGGCTGGGAGGAAGAAATAGGGAGATGAACGAGACCGTAGAAGCGGGGAATGAGACGACCCTGTAGTCGGCGCAATAAACGATATGCCTTCACCTCGGTTTAATGTTCTTCCATTCTCGAAGTCCATGTCGATATCTCCCACATCCAGTCCCTCCCAGTCATTCAGATCGGGTTGGGCAGGATGCTTCCAATCTTTGATGAGGTCGAACCAGTTGGTGGTCGTTCCGAGTTGTATGTTCTGCACGGCTGCTCGTAGATGCTCTTCAAGAGCCGTCGTCCACGGGAACTTGCCATCCTCCATATTGAGGCTGTGATGATGGCCCAGTCTACGGTCATTTAGCTTTAGCATAAATTGTTTGCCGTCGGAAACTTGTTGAATGAGAAGGACGGAGGATGTGAAAGGCTCCAGCCGTTTGACGATTTTAGCAACCAGAGGTCGAAATGTCGTGGAGTCTTGTCCCAGGGGGATATAAGTCATTACTTCTAAAATTGAATGTAAGAAATGCAAGCTATAAGTTAATAAAACTTTTGTTGTTGACGTACCTTTGTGGCGAGTGAAGCTGCTTTGTGACTGCTGACAATGTCAAGCGCTGGTGGCAGGTCGGTGAGTTTATATGTGTGCTGCATATGAAAAACGGCCTCGGGAATACAAAAGATGGTCAGGCTAAAGTCTGGAGCCGTTTCATGGTCAGTCCAATTCATATTCGAGAAATGTCCAGGTTGGGTCGGTTGAGTACAACGCGATTGACGCCTTTTAGTTTGTGCGAAGGGGACTCTGGAGATGCCGGTGAGACGCTAGTCTATTATTCCGGATTCAACAAAGGAATGTACCGACCTTTGGTGATATGGACTTGAGAACAGGTTGTTGTCCCGTTGTTCTGGCAGTCGGAGGGGAGAAATGATACAGTTTTGGCGAAAGGGATAGACACTGAGGTAGCTTGGACTTGAGAGAACGTCAGGAAGAATGCTCAGACGGTGGTGGTATTGTTAGAGGAATAGTTGGTAAATATTTATTTAATAATATCTACTTGCCCCCCACGTGGCCTTCATTGGAGCACAACCACGACGCCCTGGCAGTGGGCAACGAACAAGTCCTCAGATTTGCTTCACATAGTAGACTCGACTCTTACCACTTAACTTCGTTATCCAATGTATGCCGTATCTGACGCGACTCGGAGCGTGGACGACGTTGTATTTCTATCGCGCCAATACAAAGTTCGTCATTCCATTGAAGCAGTTTGAAAAATCATATTTATTTGCTTTGCTCCAGCGCCAACGACTTGTATCTACCTAGGGCAAAGCTTCACCTACTGTTCCAAGCAAGCAGCTCTGCAGCCTTTCACTGCTACAGTCATCAAGCACTTCCAGCCACCACCTGTGCAGTCATTCTCCTCGTTCAGCACCCGTCCGGCAGCACGCCATTCATCCTCGAGCTAGCCGATCGCAGACTGGGATATCGCAGTGCAGAGATTAGCTCGGACATACAATGGACATCAGCTATCGAAGCTCGAGATGCCGTACGCGATATGCAGTCCAGGGCCATAGTCAACTAGTTCAAGCTCATACGATACTACGGCAACCGAAACTGGCCTGAGAAAGGAAGGATTGGGAGGATTGGATGTGGGAAGTCTCTACCTGGCTGTGGAAATTGCATGAGTACGATACAGAGCTGGCGGCATATCGTTTTTTGTGGCGCCTACAAGGGACTGTCACCCTTCGCCTACACGCTCGTCTACCCCATCACCGATACCATTCGAGGTCTCGCTTTGGAGTACATACTCGGCTCAAACATGGAGCAAGTCAAATCCGGTATTGACGTGTCCCACGAAGATGCCAAGACCATCTCCAGCCGTTGCTGGACGCGTTCTGTGGTACCGAGGCAGAGAACTACGTACTGCATAACGACATTCACATCGGCAACATCGTTTTATGGGACTTGGATAGATCTGCTGTTATAATTGATCTTGGACGTTGCATGCATCAGACAGCCTGGTTGTCCTGACAAGGAGTGGAGGGATATCGTTAAAGGGGGTGCCGATACGCGCTTTATGAAGAGAGTTCTGCTGGATCCGAAGAATGGAGGCTGGAAGAAGAATGTCACGCCATTCGAGATGTCAGACTACCACTACGACCAGCCTGTGGACTTGTGTGGAGAGTATGCCAGAGGGCTACCATACGGTGATGTTTGAGAGAGTTCTGGGTACAGACTGGACGGGGTGAGGGAGAAGATGTATCAGTGGAGGAGATTGTGGATGCCTCAGACATCTCCGGAATACCTCATCCCAACCCATTCTCATCATTTGCTCTTCTCTCTCTTCCTCATCTCCGCTTATCATCGTGACTTTAAAGGACCACCTAGATGCTGTCACTGTGTCTGGCTTTGAGATTACGATATCTGTCATCCCGCTCGCGTCTTTGACACGTCGCAGTCTTGTGATTCAAAATGTACTCGTTTTGGGAGCAGGTCTGATGATTGATGATTTTTCCCTTGACTTCCATTGGAGGTGCGAGGTGCTTCCTCGAATGGTGAGCGAATCCTTGATATCTTTTCCATCGCTTACCTTGGTTTTACAGCTGTCGCCTTCACACTTTCTCCGGAATGGTCACAGCAACAGCGTGGACACGTGTGGACTGGACGGAGAAGGAGAAGTGGACCAAGGTAAACTTTTTTTAATCATCATTTCTTGTGCCCTTTTCTCATGATATTTCCTCCAATAGAGCCCAAATCTTAAATGTCTCTATGGTATGTAGGGCTAGAGGTGCGTGTACGAACATTTGAGATTTTTCTCATTTTCCTCAACTTCTCCTAGGCTTGTTGTCAAAGCACGCACAACCAGTAGCGTATCCAATGGCATACGATCTTCCTGATCACAATGCTCCCGCTCACGCCGTCTTTTCAGAACGGGGCTTACCAATCCTAGACATCGATGGGGGCGATTAACACCCGACAGGCCTGAATTCGGCATGAAAATTACTCATGGCGCGTGTTGGAATGCTCTGTAGACCCTTTGATCCGCCGAACTGGGTTGTCGAGTATCGATGTTTGGGGAGCTACTGAGTATGCCATGCCACCATGGTACGTGTGCTTGATTTCTGTTCTTTTCTACAACCAGCTCAAGCTTGTATAGGGTTCCTTGAAAGAACCATGAGAGACGACAAGGCAAGGTGCCCATCTCAGCTCCTTATTTCATGCTGACGGCGAATCTACGACCAGGCATGGCTAAGCAATAGGACATTGTACTAGGTAAGGATTTCCCCTTGTTTCTGTTCGTTCGTGTTAGCTGAACCGGGCTTCACTCAGGTAGCAAAATCCCATACAACATGACTGTTGTATACGCGGCTGCATAGTGTAATCAGATTGGAAGTCAGCAGGCAGGCAGAGCGAAAAGAGAACGAGCCTGAGGGTGTGCAGGGAACATACTCGGGGAGAGGGGGAGGTGCGGAGGGAGGTGGGAAGCCGATTTCCCACATCCAGTCCTCCCAGTCACTAAGACTGAGTTGCGCCGGGTTTCGTTGAATCCTTGACCAGCTCGAACCAACTAGGTCGGACCGTTCCTAGTTGTATATCCTGCACGGCTGCTCGTAGACGCTCTTCATGAGCTGACGTCCACGAGAGCTCCTCATCATCCATGTTGAGGCTGTAGATGCAGTTACGTCATTTAGTTTTAGTGTGACTTTTTTGCTGTCAGAAACCTGCTGAACCAGAAGAACAACGAAAGGCTCTATGCGTTTGACAACTTTTAGCAATTAGAGGTCGAAGCGTCGCAGAGGCTTGATCATGGAACTGCAGATGAATCTTTGACGTGGGAAGATATAAGCCGCAACCTCTAAAATTGTATATGAGAAATGCAAGTTATAAAGTTCTACTGAAGCCAAAAGACTATATGACGAATTATCAGATCTATATCTACAAGGAGTTATGAAAGGATGACAGAGTTAGAACAACTTGAATGCCAATAGCGATGAATATGACGATGAGCAACCGTGTACTGATATCATGCTGCACAACGGGAACGATCTCTGTCTTGGTCGGAGTCTCGCCAGCTTGCGCTTCCTTGATGTTTCCCATGGCCACGTCCGTACCGCACGGTATAGAGTCGGGCTCTTCATTCAACATCTGATCTGGCGTATTGTCCGATACGACTGGCGCAGGCCCGGAGGACTGGGATGCGGCCCCATTTGGCGTCCATTCTGTGTTCCTTAGCAAGATACCCGCTGCGCAGAAAGAACTACCCACCTCCCGTGGAAGGGTCAAGGATCTGAAGGAGTGGCCACCCAAAATGCTCGCATACATCAGCACCTTCGCGCCCGGGGTCGAATCCGTACTCGGCATTCAACTCGGGTATGGTCAAAACCACCGTTTTATGCAACTGAAATGGGCATCGTGAAAAGCACCTGCGAACCCGGAGAGGAACATCTGCCTCAACCGAATCCATGCCGCAGGCTCGGAGACAAGAGATGATGGGGAAGGATTTAATCATGTTGGTCTTATAATCGATAATGGGGGCAGTTATCGACAAGGAGAGCGCGTGATGATCGTTCGTCAGATTGCAGAGGTGACAAGGGCTGTCCCTGTCCTTTGGATAAACGGTGAAGATCGTACCTACATATGTACACCAGTCAGCAGTTGTTTCACGGAACCAGATGCCCACCATCTATAATATCTAAGCCAACATCGTCTCCATAGCCCATGGAGCGAAGATATGAATACATCTTGGAAGCCTGTGCGATCCACGATTGCATAATCTCAGCCCCCGAACGCACGCAGATAGTAACGCAAAGGTCATGGAACGATGAAGGCTCAATGGACATCGTGACCGACCCGCTGGTAGTCAACAATCAGTAAGATCGAAAAAACTCAACTGAACGACGAACTTGTCCAATGATAAAAAACCCTGTTCGCTTTCCACTCCTAGCAAGTGTACCTCCCACTTCCAGTCAAGCGGCGAAGGCCACAATCTCCCAACTAAAGTTTCCTGGGCTCGGGGTGAATCTGGTCCCAAGAGTTCCTTCACATGATACGAAGGATCGGTTACTACACTGCCCTGCGCATAGGGGTGCTCCTCGTCCAACTGCTTCTCGTCCGAGCAACCTCGCATATAAAGAAACTCAATAGCTTCATAATGATCTCGTAAACCTCCGCTTCGCCACATCCATCTCCCGATTCGACTCTGTTCGATCAAGCCGCGTACATTGTAAGCAAAGAGGAGGTGCAACATTCTGGCTCCGGTTAAAGACAAATAGAACAAGTTGAGATCGTAATAGCTATAATGTAGGTCTCCAAATACAATTTTGTCATACTCATTGACATAGAGTGCATTCTCATCCTTCAAAACGTTTAGTACACAGGAAAATCATTCACGAAACTACTGACGAGATATGTGGTGCACGTACGCGAGAGAGAACGTGGCCAAAATTTCAAGACCGACTGTAAGAATAGTTCTTGAACTGTAGCCCATGGAACTCTTGCCAGACATACCCGTAGATCTTGAATCTACAGGCACCCGGAGGTCAGCTGCTTTACTCAGAACACAGAGAATACACTTTACCAACTCATAATAGAATGGTAGGAACCGCTTCGCAGTCAAGTTACGTTGATAATGGCTAAAAGGGACTCTTGTTGTGCCTACCCGTGGGAGTTAGCTGCAGCGGAAGAAAACGGAAACAACAGCACTCTCACCATGGAATATGATCACCGGAAGATTAGGTGACCTGCATACACCAAAGATCTGGGCAACGTTTGGGTGTCTCCTTTACAACATGGGTTTTTAGCCAGCTACACAGATATGGAGAGCCGAACTTTAGTTTCATGAAGATGTCGAGGGCTTTATCAAGTTGCTAGATAAAGGCATGTGGACTTTGCCGATGACATATGGTGTTATGCACTCACTTTCATCGCATCCTCTCCGTTATCACCAAGAGCTTGGTATTCGCGAATGATCTTCCATGTATCGCTGTTCTCGACGGTGCCATAGCTGTCCTTGTATGTAACAGTACGAGTTGTACAATAGCTTCCTAATGAACGAGTTGCTGGCTTGATTATGCGGATGTCGCCTGGAATGAAATCCCAGATCTACAAAGGTTGAAATTGTTGAGAGCAGGTTGCGTAGCGCAGCGGAGAATGCCAGGTCTGGAGTCGAAAGTCAAAAGCTAGTGGTTATAAACGGTATGTGATACATACCTGGAGTCGAAAGTCAAAAGCTAGTAAGCGTTGACTTTCGATCTCCAGTATTGGTAGCTACGATTATGTAAGGTAAGAGCGACATGGAGGGTGTGCTACTTCAACAGAAATAACAAAGGCGGAATGATTGGAAGTTGCATACCAGCCCCTTATAAAGACCCCGTTGATGAGAAGCCTGTAGTAATCTTGTCGAAAGATTTTCCATGTTTTCGCTCTGCCGAGCACCCAAGATGCGTATCTCGTCGATATTTTCCTTGATGGTTGATGTGATTTGCCTCTCCGACGCCTCAACGGAACCAGTCAGAGTGCTGAATCCTGCGGCAACTTGATCCTGAACATCGGAGACGGCTAGTTGTGTCATGGTCGCCGTACGGACCTGCTGCCAGTTCAGAAGTGGACTATAGTAATGATAGCAAGCCACCCACCAGGAAGGACTTCTGAATCGCCCGTACTCGCTGCTGTAAATCGTTGATATCATCCGAGACCTTCGTGGCTCTCAAGTATTTCCAGATTCCCTGTGGAAACCTGCATTTGCTGTTCAGCTCGGAAAGAAGATCAGTCATACGCCTGCGCATAGATTGCGTGAAAAGTACAGATAGATCATGTGGGTCAACTCACGTCTGATACTCGACGCAGATCGTCTGAAAACGCGTGGCACTAGTCGGACCATGTTCGATGATGGTATCCCTTATATCAACCAGTATGGCGATGATACTTTCAGCCAATTCTTGCATATCTTTCTTATTCTTCGAGACGCCCTGCAGATCTCGTTAACATGTACACTAGGGAAAAAAATGACGGTATACCTTGATGGACTCGAGTACGAGAACCACACATTCGGCAGCTCCTGTGACAAAGGGAAACGGAGCCATTTCGCCTGCTGCAGCGGTCAACTGTGCGACCTTGATACATGCATCGATACCAGACATGGTGATGGAATGAGAAAGCGTGCAGATGAGTGCTACTTGCCATGTCAGCATACACACCTTTATATACCATTGCAGAACCAATAAGTGTTACAGGATTACATGATTGGAGTTGTTGTGAGAATGGTAAAAGTCTTATCCTTGCACAGGAACATGGCGATGCTGATGCCGTTGGGTGCAAGTAAGGCGGTCTCGTCTACCGGTTTTTTTGGGTGGGCCTGCGCCAGAAGAATAAGCACCCAACATCGCATGACTTAAATCCATACCTACTGCTTCTCGACGACACCACATTATCCTCGGACTTGGTCTATTTGAGTCTCATAGATAGGCATTCTCCTTTCCGTCATCCAACTAATACGTGATCGAATTTTTCTGTAAGCCTCGGCTCGCCTGTTACTTAGCTGTGCTTCCAAGTTTCTCGAAAATCATTCGGTCTTGTTCATTCTTCATTTTGGCATCGAAACGGCCATCCTAGCCCATCCAGCAGCCGGCACTCGTCTCGCCAGGCATCATCTCGCTCAACACGGACAATATTCTAAGCAAGTGCCCGCTGATTCTCGGTTCTAGAGGCTATGCAATAATACCGTAAGACCTCGTACAGAAACACCGGATCCAAGAGTAGATCAGAACATCAAAGCGTCGAAGTAGGCGATTCTTTCTGACTGGATCCCTGCGGCCCATTAGAGCTGTAAGCAGACCTTATCTAGTCTCGTTCCCATTCATCTTAGTCACGTATGTCCGTATTCGTGCCATGACGATGTGAATGGGCAGTTTATTGATGACAGGCTGGTGGGCTGTCATTGAGGAAAGCTCGATACCCTGTTGTAGTCGCGTCTCTATCACTTGTATCGGGGTCATTCACACAAAATGACATGCTTCCCAGCAGAGACTAATGTGAAGACTTCATGCTGTCGTCGACGCGTCAGTACGCTGGTAGTAACCAGAATATGAAAGAAAGACAAACATGCGACATCTCCCCAGTGAAATAAACATCCGCATCGCGTCCAACAAGCATAGATCCTCCTAACCCAGCGCATATCGCCACCGTACGAATGTCGCTTAGTATGGCGGAGGGATATGCTACTTGAACTGAGCGCATACATCAGCCAACGAGAACGGCAACCAAGTAACAGAAAGATTTTTCACCCTGCGATAGGCCAAGATGTCATTTCACCCTATCCACCAGCTCTTTCACCAACACTGGTTCATCTAGAAAGACCAACCGTCCCTCCGCACCTTCGCTCGTCCCGCTCGTATCAAATTTCTCACCTACCAAGGTGCTGATTTGGCCAGTACCAAGCCTTTTGGCAAGCCAGTCATTCATCCTCCCCAGACAGAGTCCAAAGACATATGTGGTGAGAAAAGCAAGATGCCTTCGACCGCGCAGCGGAGAAGAGAAGATTGCAGAGGGTTTGTGAGTGTAAGCGATCAGAAGGGCTTCAATTGCTGAGAGCAGGTTGCGTAGCGCAGCGAGGAAAGCCAGGTCTGGAGTCGAAGGTCAAAAGCTGGTAAGCGTTGACTTTCGATCTCCAGTATTGGTAGCTATGATTATGTAAGGTAAGAGTGACATGGAGGGTGTGCTACTTCAACACTCCCCATCAACCAAACATGTCTACGGAGGTATTGAGACAAGTCCAAGTAAGGTAATCATGTGTCTGAGCTTCTCTCTTTCCAATCCCTTTATCAAGGCATCAGCTGGCATATTGTCAGTTTGTAAGTGGACCACATGGATGTACCCCTTCTCAACTTCATCATGCAGCCAATAGAATTGAAGGTCAAGGTGTTTAACCTGGCCATGATGTTCAGGGTTTCAAGCAACTGACAGAGCAGACTCATTGTTGATATAGAGGACTGAGGCATTGGTGAATGAATAGCCAAACTCTGTGAACAAGTTGCAAAGCCAAAGGATTTTCTGACTGGCAGATACAGCTGAAACATATTCTGCCTCTGTTGTTGAGAGTGTCACAAATGCCTGAAGATGACTCATCCAGCTAATAGCTCCAGTACCCATTTTGACAATGAAGCCACTTGTGGAACACCCACTATCTTTGTCACCCTCATGATCTGCATCACAATAAGTCTTGAAGTCAAAGACTGATGAATCTGACTCAGAGTTGGGAGAGTAGACAATGCAATAGTCAACTGTGCCCTTCAGATAGTGTAAAAGCCATTTGAGAGCTTCCCAGTGGGCTGTGCCAGGGTTTTTGCTGAATCATGAGAGTATGCTCACAGGGTAGGCAACATTGAGCCTGGTAGCAATAGCAAGGTAGGCCACAGAGCTGAGCACATTCAGATATGGGATTGTCTGCATTGTCTTGTATTCCTCTAGTGTTTTGGGAGACTGAACTGCTATAAGTTTTATGTTTGGATCCAAAGATGTCAGAACAGGGTTGCAGTCAGCTATTCCTGCATGTTGCAGAATATCTAAGATGTATTGGTGCTGAGAGAGTGTGTGTGTTCAGTTGGCTCAGTCACACTTGATCCTGACACTAAGGAGGTAAGATGTTGGACCCAAGTCTTGAAGCTTGAAGTGCTTCTTGAGATCATTGATGACCTTTGCAATATCATCTGGTGTCTTTGTGGCAATGGTCATGTCATCAATGAAGACTGGAATGATGATATGTTTACTGTCCCTCTTGTAAACTCAGACACTATGCTTGCATTTTACCTGTTCAAAACCCATGGCATTGGTCAATGTTGCATGTAGCTTTTTGTGCCATTCTCTCTCAGCCTGCTTTAGTCCATTAGAGACTTGAAGAGGCATCAGATCCTTTCCTTTCCTTTCTCCTCAAAATCTTCTGGCTGCTCTATATACACCTCTTCTGTCAGCTCATCAATGAGAAATGCTGATGAGATATTGACATTCTATAGCTCTAAATTCTTGAGGGCACCAAGTGCCAGGACAGCTCATAGAGCAGCCTATTTTGGCACTGGAGAGAAGGTTTCAGTGTAATCAAAGCCAGGTCATTGTGAGTATCCCTTTGCAACAAGTCTTGCTTTATAGCACTCAATTGATCCATCAGCATTGCATTTCACTTTGAATACCCAGCAACTCTCAACTGCCTTTTAATCTGAAGGGCATTTCACCAATTCAAAGACACTATTTTCAATGAGTGCCTGTATCTCTTGCATAGCAGCTTCATACCAACTTGCAGCTTCCTCTGGAGAATGTTTCATAGCTTCATGGAAGGATCTAGATTCACTATCATGTGTGGATGCCTTATAAGCTACTTCTGTCATGCTCTTAAATGCAACTTCCAGTCCTTCATCCATTGTCAAATAGTCTATTGTCTGGCTGGAGAAAGCTATACCTTCAAGAATAGTTTTATCTTCCATAAAGGCTGTGTGTGCTTGATCCTCTGCATCTCTTGCATAATCATCATTGTTGACATTTCAGTGCATTTCATGACTATAACTAGAATCAGGATTATATAAGCTATTATCACATATTTTATATTCATATTTGCCTAGGTCTGTTGAAGGTGGTGGTGATGGTGATGGAGTTAGGTCTGAGAGAGATCCATCAAATAGTGAGTAAGAAGCAGAGAGGATTTCCAGCAGAGTGATGGAAGGGTTTTCTGCCATCCAGGCAGAGAGAACTGTCTGCTCTATAATGATATTCACACTAGAAATGTCATTCTGCAGGATGATGATCAGTCTCCTTCTATCATTGACTTTGGACTAGCAAATATTTGGAATTCTGAATATTGTAATGAGGAGTGGGAGAACATTGTTTATGGGGATCCAGATACATGCTATATGAGGAGGCTTCTAATGGATCCTGAGGATGGGCACTAGAAGAGGAATGTATTGGACTGGCACTATGAGAAGCCTCTGATATTCAACAGATATGTGGAAAGTATGCCTGAGGACTTTTATAGAATGATGTTTGACAGAGTGTTAAACATGAACTGGAAAGGTGCAAGAGAGAAAGTATATCAATGGTGTATCAAGCCAGGTGTTTGTTGCAGGCATTTGTATGACTGCAATTAATCAGAAAGCTCTATCAGAACTTTATCCCTCTTGTATTCCCAGAAATACATGCCAGACAATGAAATGCTTTTGCTAAAGCAACAGCTATGTGCTCTGTGAAGTGTGGATGTCTCACTTGTGTCAATAACCAATCTTGTGATTCACTATGTTTGACTATAGAAATGATTCTTTCACTAAGTGATATTTCTGATATTAAAATGATCACCAACACCAAGATCAGAAGCTCTGAAGGTTGTTACTCAACAAAATCTTGAGCTGTATTATTGCCCTTCTAGCCTGACCCCTTCCTCCTTAGAAGTTGATTCCAAATGAGGATATTTTGGTTGTTCAGATCATTGTCAGTTGACTATGACACTTCAATAAGCAAACTGGTGTGTCTCTGGCTGCCAGCTGATTGATGCTTGTGAAGGGCCAGAGTCCTTGTCTGAATGAGACTGGTAGTTGATTGCATCATACTTTTCTTGTGCTTTAACACTATTCTATCATAGGCTAACCACTTGCATAAAAATATGAATGACTCTAGGCCTTAGTCTAATCATCTTCTGTATTCTCAAAGCCATTTTTCATAAGTAGCCCACTTATGAGCTCACTGACCCATGACCAGCAGTAGTTGACATTGTCAGCAGTGGCAAGGCAGCTTTACTCAGCACAAAGGTATGTCAACAATAGAAAATTTATTATGACTTTCTCATAATCTATGTTAGTGGCAACAACTTGTATCTCTCTGGGTCAAAGATTCATCTGCAGTTCCAAGAACAAGACTCCACAATATTTCAACCTCTGGTTACTAAAATCATCAAATAGCTGGAGTCTTTCATATTCTCTGTCCTTTTCATTCAGCAGGTTTCTGACAACAAATAATTTCTACTAAAGCTAAATGATGGCAGACTGGGCCATCATCACAGGCTCAATATGAAGAATGGCAAACTCCCATAGATGCCAGCTTGAGAAGAGCATCTACAAGCAGCCATGTGGAACATACAACTCAGAACAATCACCAACTGGTTCAAACTAGTCAATGATTGGAAGACTCTGGCATATTCCCACACCAGAGACTGGGAGGACTGAATGTGGGAGATAGAGACTTGGACTTTGAGAGTGGAAGAACCTTCTACAGTCTTATTTATCTTCCTATTTCTTCCTCTCAGCCTCTTCATCCAATTATGGATTATGTTTTCAGCACCATCATCAAGTACATCCAAGGTGTGAGCATGGGCTCACTCAAACCTGGTGTTGATATCCCTCAACCAGAGGCAGAAGTGATTCCTGACCATATTATGGATGCCTTCTGCATGATAAAAGCAGAGAAATACATGATGCACAGCAATATATACATCAACAATATTCTTCTGCAGGACTCAGACAGATCCACAGTCCTTGTTGACTTTGTATGATTCTTGACAAGAAAAACAGAGATGAGTGATCAGGAGTGAGAGGATTCAGTTGCAGACACTCAAGATAGGTGTTTTATGCCTAGGATGCTTATGAGTAAAGATCATGGAATGTGGAGAAGAAAGGAGATGCCACTGGCAATATATCATTCTCTGCTATCATGAAATGAATATGTAAAGAACCAGCCTAGAGATTACTGCAGATAGATGTTTGAGAGGGTTCCAGGTATGGATTGGGAAGATGCAAGAGAGAAAGTACTGCAGTGGTGCCTCAAGCCAGATATTTAGTGCAGAGATGACTAGGCATATAAGGTGAGTTCACTTCAAAGTAATTCATACATCATGCTGACAGACCTCTAAGCCATTCAGTGGGATACAAGGGTTCCAATCTTGATGTGATGCAATCTTCAGTCAGGATGCCTTGTAGGATCTGTTGTTCCTGTATCTAGCCTTTGTCTCATGTTTTTCCAATGGTGAGGAAAATGTGTGATGCCAGATCACCCATGATTCATGGAATGACATATCATCCAGTTTAGTTATGCATCATGTCTACAGAATCATGCATCTCTCTCAATGAGACCATGTTTTCAGAGTGCAGTGATATACAATATAGATTGCAATGAAAAGACATACAGATTCCAAACTTCACTATCATTATATCAGTCACTAAAGTTCATTCTGACTGACAATCCTATCTGGCATATGTTTAACAAGAATAGAATCTGGACCTAAATCAAGGACTATCAAGATAGAGGTTACCATAGTTAAAGCCAGCTGTTTATATTCAGATATGATATGAAGGGGGATACTCTTCTTGTCAGGAGAGCCAATGTCAGGATCAGAAATAGTGGTGCATATTTTATACTGTAGAGTTTGCTCTGTCCAACATCATTCTCAGGTTCTCTATTGCTAACAGAAATAAAGAAAAACCAGATAATCCAAAGGTGGAGCATGCACACAATTTATAATACTTTTTTCTATGTTCAATTTGCTTGAAACATTATTTCACTTGCACTGCAGGATCCTCTAAATCAGCTGAAGCCACTCAATGCACTGGGTTCCAGAAATTATAAACACATTTCAGACTGCTTGTTCTGAAATATACAATATGCAGAGAATCAGATTTTAACCAGCTACAGCCAGAATAAGTAAAGTAGGAATAGTATGTCAAGTATCCTTGGCACCCATGATAATCCTATCTGGCACAGGTTCAACAGTAATAGAATCCTGATCCAAATAGCAAAAACATGATCATCTACAGCATTTCTTGCCAGCTTCAGCTCAATGTTAGTGATAGACTTCAATAGCACACAGAGCTGCATCACTGCAATGTCCAAATTAAGTTGTCATTCTCTTTGTCAGTCCAAATTCATAGTCATCATATTGAAAAACCTGATCATTGTATATGTCATCTACACTGGCTTAGTTGTAGTCATATCTATGCCTGCAATAAACTCCTGGTCTTATTCTCCACTGGTACACTTTCTCTCTCACCCCTGGCCAATCCATTGAAGAGATTCTGTGCATGTGCAAGGTGAAAACAGATACAGCAGAGTGCTATCCACTGATCACACCTACACTAACACACACACAATACTCTTAGTTCATGGGAGGATTATAATGTGATAAGAGTAGTAACAGCAAATATAATTGTCTTCTCCAATGAATCCACTGTGCATGAATAGCATGTGTATAACAGTCCTAGATCTCTCTAAGTCTCAAAGCTTTTCACTCAAAACAAGAGATGGCAACAGATGTTGCTAGGCCTCAAGGCAAAGATACTGCAGCTCAATACAATATGTTGAAACAATCCCACAACTCTCAAAAAGGTTCCAAGCACAGCTCAGATCAAATCAAAATCTCTAACACACACAATACATGACTCAAAGCTTTGCACTCTAAGCAAAAACTAATCACAAACATGTCCACAAGTGCCAAAGAGCTCAGATCTCTGTACACAAGCTTTCACACTGATCATAGACCCACAGGATTCAAACATATGTGACCCAGAGACACAAAACACAATAAAACACCATCTGACAGACTCAAAGGGTTTGAACCTCTGCTGATCTGTGGAAATATTACAAATAACCCTGTTCACAGGCCAAATGGTTTGAACCTCTGTCATTCTGCAGAAATAACCAAAAAGCATACACTAATCAAGCCAAAGGATTTGAACCTCTGTCATCTGTAGTGCTGCATGTCACAAATACCTCAAAAAATCAAGATGATGCCCTTCAGACACTGCTCTCTTATTCTCAGGCTAAAGTGCAATCCAAAACCTCTTATCAAATTGAACTAGAGTTCTGCACAAGCTTTGATGCCTTGCACAGTTCTCAGATCTCTCTTAATGATATCAATAATAAGTCTATTCTCTCATCTGAAGTTTCAAACACAAACTCAGAGATAGGGTGCAAGACTTTCTGTGCTCAATACACTGCAACTGTAGAGAGTTGGAAACTTGTATTCTACTCATACAACACAGCATTTAAATACTCTACTATGGTACTTACTAATACAATCCTACTATAATATCTTCAATATGCAGGACTCTGTTCTAGATCCCATAGGTATTATTCATGCATATATCACAGTTGACATGCTTATTCTGTTCTGGGTCAGGACTATGCCTACTGTTTCCTCATGATCTGACATTGGCTAGCTGGTCTAGCCAGGTCTGCTTGCTTTCTTATTTCTCTGGTAAAGTATTCTGATATTGGAGAACTGTTTCAGGCCCTCCAGAGTTATCTCTCATGTCTGAAGTCAGCTATAATGATGATGTTCTCTTTTTCAGTGTTCAGACATTCTATCTGACTCACAATATGTGCCACTTCTGGTTTAGCACACATCAATTAATTCACCTAATAGGTATGTGTTATATCTCAGTATAATGCAGAGTCCATTGCAGTGCTATGCATGCAAAGGCACTATAATTATGCATGCAAGTCTCTAAGCATTATGCACACTATTCATTCTTTAGTAGTATTTCTCTATCTATTACTTTGTTGTCATCATTCCATTTCTCTGTTCAACATCCAGTTATTCAGATATCTTTCTTTGAGTCTCAGTTCTCTGTTCTAAGACATGTCCCATCAGCATATCAATAGATGTGCATCTTTAATCAATGTGATCAGAATTGCTGATCATATTTTGATTGTATTCTTTTTATTTTTAGCATATCTTGTTGTAATGATATTAGTGTGTTTAAGGCCAAGTGCTGGGGTCTCACATGCAGTCTAATCCCTCTAGTATTAGTCTATCACTAGAACATGCACTCTGCTTATTGTTATTTCTATTATGATTTTTCCTATTTTCTTTTCTTTTTCCTTGATTTATTTGAGATTGACTCCTATTTCTGCTTAGTCAGAGCACCTAGACCAGATGCTTAGGATTGTGGGAATGCTTAGTCATCAGCACCACTCTGATTCTAGTTGCTGCTGTGAAGTCATGCAGCAGCACAAAGACAGAGAAGCCTCTCTTATCTTTGTGCAGCAGTAACAGCAGTAACAGCATAACAGCAAGACAATACTTTTTGTAGGTATCTTAGTGACACTGGACAATACACTGCACAGCATGCAGCCAGGACAATTAGATAGTTATATTCTTAGAATGATAAGGATTTAGTATTTAAGTAGCATAGCTTTTGCTGTAATACCCCAGCTTCAAGCTAAAGTTTATTCTCCACCATCTTATCTTGAGTGACTTGTAACTGCCTTGACTACACAATGCCAATAACACATCAGTGAACTCTGATAGTATAATCTGAAGTATGAGGTTCTATCAGTTTATCATGTGTTATTGGTCATGTGGAATTTAAGCTTAACAATTAGCTTGAAGCTTCTAGCTTTCCTTTCTCAAGCCCAATTGTGCTGAGAAACTGAATGCCCCCTGCACTTAATCCATCTGACTCAAATTTCACTTATGAGTTCTTTGAACTCTTGGCTTCTATCATTGGAACACTGATTGGTTTATTGGTGATCATACAGTTGTGCTGTAGGCACTAATCAATAACCATCTGGGCTATCCATCATTACTAAGAGTTTCAATGGATCCACATAATCCTATGAAATGTCACATCAGACCTCCCTCTTCACAACATCTCTGCCTCTGCCTGACCCTCAACAACCTAACAGTCTTTCTGACCTGAGAAAGGAGTCCCATCTGAAGCTGTCTCTGAGAGCTCAGCTGAAGAGTGTTCTAGAGAAGAGGAGCAGCAGCAGCAGCACACATACTCTCTGCAATCTCTGTCAGCAGTCATCTGAGACACTGGAAACCCTTGGGCTACAGGGTTTTGATGACCTAGACCCAACACCTCCATCCTGTCCCTCAAGCACAGTATTGCAGCAACAAGGACAATAACCCCTATTTCTGGAGGAGGCATTGGCCACCATGCCAGAGACTCCCTTGATGCCACATGGGTGGCTTGAGGGGCCAGAAATACCAGAGGCTCTAGGTCTCAATATACTATGTCAGTATGAAGTAGGAGCACTGACTATAGAACAGAGGTCAATAATGATCTCTATTTCAATGATGACAGCAGCAAGCACCAGTATTGGCAAGCTGCTGCCAGAAAAGCTGACCAGTTGGAGTGCTGCACAGTTAGTGGTAATACTAGCTGAACAGAGAGCATATGAGAGGTACCAAGAACAACATAACCAGCCCCAAATGCTGATCCAGTTCTCTTTTGAGAGAACCAAATTCAATGTACCAATAACATTTCTGAGTACCTTCAGGAGCAGGCATGGATTGACAGTGAGATCATGAGAGAGAATGCCCTCTTTGAGCAGTATCTCTGAGCATGAGCAGCAGAAGAGTGAAGAAGAAACAATGAGAGTAACAGAACCAGTATGCTCATTGGTACCACCACTAACAGTGTACCTGACTCTCTATTTTGGGAATCTACCACTCTCACCACTGAGCCCAATCCCTGGACAGAACCTGCTGAGAGAGTTATCCCTGCAGATGAGGTCCACCAGAGGGTATCATCTGACTTTGACAATGACTGCCTGCTATCTTATGGGACTGATACCATTGCAGAAACTGATGATATCCTCATTCAGAGAGATAGGATTTCAGCAGACCAAGGAACCATTGGGGGAGACAATGAGAGTATCAACTCCACAGGTGACATTCAGAGGTTTCTCAACAGGAACTTTGCTGCCCTCTTTTTCAACCCACAGTTTTACTGAAACTTCTGTTGGTATCACAGAGCAATAGTGGCAGCAACAGCATGAGCAGAAGCCAAAGAGCAGCAGAGACAGCCTAAGTGGCAGCCTACTCCTTAACCCAGACCTGACAATGCCAAACCCAGCATGCAGCCCCAGTATGGCCATCCTGGAAGTCTATGACCTGTTGATATGCAGGCTACATGTCCAGCCCTATAATTTGCAAATTCTGCATAACACACTAGAATATGCTAGTAACTGAGGATCATTAGCCAGTAGAGGACTATGGCTGAGGCTCCAAGCTGATAGTCATGCTAGTCACTAATACTAAGTCCAAATTGGACTTTGTAAAAATAACATGGCCTAAGGATAATAATCCTAAGTTAGATTTGAACTTAGAAAAGTTCAGCACCACACCTTGGAAAATATTAAGTGGACTTAGAAATGGTACCTCAAATGGAACCAATTCTACATGCCACTAAGACAAGTATATTCTAAGACAGCTAAGGGTATAATACCATAGCCAGTTGTGGAGTATTGAGTAGAGATAGCATCATCCAGAAGCAGTAAGAAGAGAGACCCAATGATCTGTGGCTAGCACTATGAGTTTTGACTCAAATGCCTAAGTTCAAATTTCCTAGGTATCAGGTGACCTAAAGGACTTAGAATTGAGAGGTATAGAGTGGATAGGACTGGTTGACTGGGTCTGACCAGGCCTGATCGATTGAGCTACTAAGAATAACTCAGAGGATTAAAACTTTGAGTAGACAGAAAGGAGTTAGGTACCCACAGGCACTGTAGGGTTAAAATAAAGCTGTTTGGTGGCCAGGCATGTCTGGGCAAGCCTAGAGGAGTCCAGAAGTGCTGCCATTCTGGAATAATGGTGTGATTCTGCTTTAAACAGGAGAAATATTATTTTGAATGCTTTATTTATAGATTCAGTACCTGTTGTTGGTGTATAAAAGAAGGGAATGGGGGGAAAATAGCAAGCAAGCGACCCACCCCCACATTCAGGCCTTCTAGCCCACTGTAGCTAGTCCCTGGGACAATGGATTTTGAGTTCTGCTTCAACTTAGTGATTTATTTAAGTTGCTTTGTCACTTAGAGAGGATTGGATTGGAATAATAACTGTATTTTAGGTTTCAGATTAATTTGAGTTCTAAACTATAAGGGTTTCAGCATCAGAATACAAGTTCTTTGGTTTTGAGGACCACTAGCCAGCCAAGAGTGCAGCTAGTCAAGCCTAAGTGCTTGATAGACTTAGTATTTGGGTTTTGGAGTTCATTGGGTTTCAAAATATTCTAAGCTGATCTGGAGCACAATTTGACATTGATTCTAAGTCCTAATTACACTTAAACATTGCTATAAACTACTCTCACAAGTATTGCATCTTTGAAAGCAAGATAGAGTTGAATAACTGTCTTTATTGACTGTTTCTTTGACTTTATTTAAGACTGCAAGAGTGCTTCTATTGTACTCAAAACAACTGACCTCAACTGTATTTGGTGATTGAGAGTTCATTCCTCATTTGCCTCTCTTAGTCACTTAGCCATTATCAAGCACATCAACAGGTTCTGATGGTCTGTCCATACTTTGAATGTTTGCATGGCACCAATCAGATAATGTTGCCACTCTGCCAGAGTGATTATGATGACTAGAAGTTCCTTGTTTTAAATCTCATAATTCCATTCAGTGATGGTTAGTGTCTTAGATAGGAATGTGACTGGTCTTCACCTTTCTTTCTGTTTCTGAGACAGTACAGCCTCTATTGCTCTCTTGCTTGAATCTGCCTCCATCCTGAACCTTCCTTGCTGTGTTGGTATAGCAAGGACAATATCCTCTGCTAGTCATTGCTTGAAGTCATCAAAAGCTGTTTGCTGAGATAAGCTCCAACCCCAGGGAGCATTGCCAGTGAGTTGTATCATTGGCCATACTATCTTGCTGTAATCTTTGATGAATTGGTGATAAAAGTTGGTGAATCCAAGGAATGATTGCAGTTTCTTCTTCTTTGTCAGTTCCAGCCACTCTACTGCTTCAGCAACTTTGATAGAGTTCATACATATACTTCTCTTGCTGATGATCATCCTCAAATATTCAGTCTCTAATATCTCAAACTCACACTTTTCAGTCTTGAGGAATAGTTTGTGTTTTCTCATTAGAGTGAGGACTTAGTGTATGAGCTGTTAGTGTTCCTCCTTCTCCTTAGATATAATCAGGATGTTGTCTAAGTAAATAGTTACCTTTCCAGTGGTGATGAGATCTTTGAAGATATCATTCATCATCCACTAGAAGGTGGTGGGTGGGTTTGTCAGGCCAAAGAACATGATGGTCAGCTCAAATAGTTCCTGATTGGTGTGAAATGCAGCTTTCCATTCATTGCTCTTTTTGATTCTGATGTTATTGTATCTCCAATAGATGTTAAGCTTGATGTAATACTGGGCATGTCAAAGCTTGTCCATCAACTCAAAGATAAGTAGTAGGGGATATCAATTTTTAATGGTCATCTTGTTAAGTTTGCAGTAGTCTTGGACAGGTCAGAGCTTCTCATCTTTTTTCTTTATGAAGAAAAAGAGAGAAGCTATTGGTGATTTAGAAGAGTGAATTCATCTGCTCAAAAGGTTTTCTTTAAGGAACTTATCAAGTTTCTGCTGTTCAAAGTGGCTGAGAGAATATGTCTTGCAGTCCAGATTAGTGTTAGCATTGGGTACTAGCTCAATAGTATGGTCCCATAGCTTTGAAGATGGAAGCTCATTAAAGCTTTCCTTCACAAATAAGTTCTAATAGTCATGTGCTCACTCAGATACTAGTTCTTTGAATGTTTTGGCCTCTTTCCCCTTGTTTGCCTTGGCCACTAGATTATTAGCATAGTGCATTGCATGGATATGTAGTGCTGAGTCCATGTCTACAGCTAATATCATCTCCCTGTTCTCCATCTTCTTATTTCAACAATCATCAGGATCAGTGTTAAGGAGGATAAATAGAGTCTTCCTGCACCAGCATTGAATGAAGGTGATTTGACTGGTCTTTCAGTTAATAAAGGGGTTATGTTGAATTAGCCAGTCATAGCTGAGGAACAGCTCCTTTGTCCTTAAGTCAGTGATCACCAGATCAATCCTTTCCACATGATCTCTGATGGTGAGTTGGAGTTTGACAAACTCTGTAATAAAACCTGCTTGGTTTTTGGTTCCATCTGCATTATATACCAGAATTGGGATGGTGGTGGCCTTTGTGGGGAGTTGGTGCTTCTTGACAGAAGCTCAATTGATTGAGCTCTCCATGCATTCACTGTTGATTAGAGCAGTAATAGTGAAGGTGGCTTGATTGGTGAGGGTCTGAATTTGTGTCTTTGCTGTGAGATATCTCTCATATGTCTTCTGTCATCAGATGAACTTCTTTGGTCCTTGCAGCTTATTCAGCCATTTTAGGACCTTCTCTCACCCTGCTTCCTTGATTCCTCTGATCATTGCTTCATCTACTTCTGTGATTCATCCTTTGTGGATTCAGTTCCACAGAGAAGCCATAGCTTCTTCATTGCTTCATGCTTCATTTATAGTCTGTCAGGTCCATTCAGTTTTGAATGGTTTTAACCAACCAGCAGGAGCCTCTCCCTTTGTTCAGCCTATAGGCATTTGAGTTAGTTGGTGTGACTCTTTCAGTGTGTAAGGGGTAACTTGGAGTATATTTAAATGCACATAAATAGTTGTATCTACAGATAGCATATGAGTCTGATCTGTGGCTACTGTTAACACACTGTTAAGTTCTTTGGCCAATCAAGTGAAATCACTCACTTTTCAGCCCCATCTTTTACCTCCTCAGCCTGGGTTTCTGTTTCTAGATTCTCTAATCCTTTGGCCTCTCTCTGTAGTTCTGCTATCTGAGTCCAGATGTCTTCATATATTTGCTTCTTCTTTAGGCAGTCCTTCAACATATGACCTTTCTGTCCACAGCTAAAGCACTTCCCCTCCTTCTTGAGATGGTCTATATCTATCAGCTTTCTGCTGCTGATGTAGGTTGTTCCAGTCCCAGTCTTTTGAGCAATGTAAGAGGGAGTTATTGCCATGCTGAGTTTGGCCAAAGATCTTCCACCAGTATTCTTTCTGTTCACTGTTTGATGAGACTTCTTCTGCTCAATCATGATTCCTGCATTAGCTGCCTTCTGTTGCAGCCTTTCTTTATTTATTTCTGTGATTCAGGCCTTCCACATGTTGTACCCTCTTAGAATATTAGTGCCAATATTTGAAACCATGCTGATATAGGACAGGAGTATCCCCATTTTGAGGTACTCCACTATTCATCCATCATCATCAATGCTCTCTCATACTCCAGCTAGTGTTCCCAGTCATTCCAGCTCATCAAAATATTTGCTGGCAATCTTATCACCCATATAAAGCTTTTTCATTTTATTTTTGTGAACTTTCTGGATGGCAGATTCTATGAACTTGTCTCTGACCATCTGTTTAAAGATGGACCAGGATGGGTATCAGTAATGTTGTTGACTGGTAGAACAAAGAGTCAGAGCAATGAGAATCTATCAGTGTTTCATCTTACTCTTGAAGTAAGAGGCAGCAAATGCAACTT